TAAGCAAATAAGGTAGTGAAATTAAATGGAAATAACTAATCCTTCTCTCTCTCTTTATATGATAAGCACTTAACCAGTCTTATTTGCGTGAAAGGACGGTGGGAATATTTTCCTGGTTGTGGTTCCTTCATTTTCCACCGTATTTATTTGTTTTAAAAATCCTTCACTTCACACGGCACTTGAGTTTGTTGATCGACGCCCACAGACTGGGAATGAGTGATGTTTGGTACACCCCTGGCCCAAAGTATTGGTAAGTCTATCCCAGCGTCAACATTCTGGAAAATTGCGGCATTTGCCAGTACTACAGTAGTTTATATTATAGTGTATCCGACGTCATGTACCAACGCAGTAGAGATTATAATTTAAATTGGTGTTTGCTTAAATATTTCAGAGTATTCCAGATTTTATATGTCGACTGGACCAGATTTTCCTGAAACTGACCTGGCAACGCTGTATGAGAGAGACAACTCTGGAGTCCTTGCTGATTAGGTCCAATGTCCATTTGTCGATAAAACAAATCAATCAACTTGATCCGATTTCTACCGCAAGCAACTGAGCGATGGATTTGCAATATTAATACCTACAATCAAAAGTTCAAACGTTGATTTCAAATGGATCAAAATTTAAACGTTAGTTTCACTGTATGTACTTTCCCATCAAAACACTTTGCTAGATGTATTCACACGATTCCTTGAGGTACGTTTAGACTGTCTGATTTGTTGGTCTGATTCGAGCGGACTGCTCCATAATCAATTGCTGGATGATAATCTTCAGTTGTAAAATATTCTATTACTAGCTTAAAATTCAGTTAACTTAAGTAATCTTAACAGGAAAATGTCCATTATTCCGGTATCCAATTTTCTATTGCAATACATCCGTCAACTATGTCAAATGTAAAGGAAAAACATTGATGTTCAGTAATTGGATCGTAAATAGACGCATGGCCTGGATAATTGCGAAGACAACATATCAAGAAGACTGGCATCTCTTTCATTTTCTCAAACGACCGCTATGAGACCAACATCATCGCGTCATTTGCAGCGCTACTGTATATGTCGCTTGTATTCTGACAGAGTTTCCAGTCTTCTTGATTTGATGTCTTCGATAATTGTCTATAAAACAGCTGCTGCGTATATTTTTCTCCCATGGTTGACCGGTTCAATAAAATAAATAAAATAACTGATACCTGAAATGAAGTAATGGAATTGGGTTGTTAGCGGAATGCTTAAATAAAAGAGCAAAAAAGGGGTTATCTTCCATTTAATTCCACTTAATTATTTTTGTTATCCATGACAGGTACGTATTTCGACTACTATGTGCAGTTTTCACCAGTGTCATTCCCACTAAAGAACTTATCAAAATCTAACCCCCTTAAGTACTCCTCTCTCTCAAAAATAATTAAGTGGAATTAAATGGAAGATAACCCCTTTTTGCTGTGTTATTTAAGCATATCAGTTTTTACGCGAGAAGTGAAAGTGACGTCAACAATGTGTTTATGTATGAATTATAAGGAGTGAAAAAGAAGCGCGATTTCACAAGCCGAACATTTGTAGACCGAGGTTCGTCTTCGATAGGATGAAGTTGTATCCATTTATAGACCCAATTTGAGTACAGTAGACCGATATTACATCCACGTACCTGGAATGTTTTCATGTTTAAATGTTGCAGTTGTTGTTTCAATGTTAAACAATTTGCAGTAACATAAATAATAGATCATGCAGCCAGCCGGAAACGCACCTGCTGCGTTTTTAGGTACTCCAAGGTGCTACCAATCGATTGAGTGTTCGTGGCTAGTGGTAGTGAACCGGTTCGCCGCGGTCACTCACTATTACCTACGAGTTTGCACGGAGAGGGAGAGAGATGGTCGTCGTACAGTGAGGGAATAGGAATAGGTAATAGAAATGTAAACATTAGGAAATTAAAATTAGTCCAAAAAAGCAATCGTCGTGATCGGTCGACCGGGGGTGAATTCCGTACGGAACAATAATTTGTCTAGTTTTAGGAATAAATGTAGTGTAGTTAATAAAATCAATGTTGTGCCTTTGTAAATAAACGGTATTTTGTGGATAAGACGTGCATGCGAGGAAAACAGGATGGTCTTTGGATGACTAAGGAAGGATGCGGATCAAAGGGAAAGGACAGAAGGAATTCAAAACAGTTCACGTACAAGTAGAAGTCAACATCAAGCGGTCGGGACGGTCCCCGACATAATTTGATCCTTCGAGCCGGATTTCTACTACCGGTGAACTCACGGATCGATCGAATTTCGACAATTCGACGATCAATTTGCGCCTTTGCGGATCCGCGCCATACTAAAAGTGCCCTGAAAGGATCCATCGCCATCTCAGGCCATCATCAAAGGGATCTACAGTCTGGCCAACCGCCATCGTCATCATCAGCAACATCAACAATTGTACATTGAGTGAGGAAATTTGCCATCGTCAACGAGTGTGATTGATTTCAGCCATAACAACCGTTGTTTACGAGTGGGATTTCGGATCTGCCCGGCCATTTTCAGCAATCTACAGGATTGTAGGACAATCACAGCGTTGTTCTTCTACCAGGCCAAGTATGTAAGAACAGTATATGTCCGCCAAAGCATTCAAGAATTCCCACTAACACTCACCTTTCGATTTACTGTGCGAATTGTTATGCAACTATCCACGACTTACCGAATCCGAATACGAACATTTGGAGAGGTGAATCAGTTCGCGAAGAACTGGTTTTCGGGCAGTGAAACTGCCTTCACTTACCAAGGAATCGGTCACAGATCTTCGCAGACTGGCTGATGGATTCGATCGTGCGATGCAAACGTTGGATTAAACCGTTGAACCAGCCGAATACAGGGATTTGCTACTGGTAGAACTGCTAAGTTCACGCCTGGATCCAGCTACTCAACGTGGTTGGGAGAAACACACGTCCGCTAAGGAGCAAGACACGCTGAAAGACTTGCAAGAGTTTCTTCAACGAAGAATGCAGATCCTCGAGTCTCTAACAGCAAAAAATCCAGATACGAACCTGTTCAACCCAAACGGAAGCCGTTTTCTCCGAAGGTCAGCCACAATGCCGTACAGTGGAATAGCGCTAAGTGCCCATCGTGTACGGAGGTTCATGGACTACATACGTGTCCAGCCTTCCTGGAAATGTCGCTGTCCAGCAAGGAGTCGTTCATTCGAGCATAGTCATTCTGCCGAAACTGTTTCAAACGCTCTAGCTCGAGATTGCTCATCAAGGTTCTCGTGTCGAAACTGCAAGGCTCGTCACCACACACTGCTGTGCTTCAAAGGCGAAGGAAGAAGCAGTAGGCAAGGATCACCCGAGACAGCCAATTCGGATAGAAGCACCAACCTGAACGATGCGGATTCGGATCCCAAGGCAGCGACTGTAGTAAGGGTTGAGGCAGCATCGTCGAACTCGGTACAGCATCCTACATAGCAGGTACTTCTGGCGACAGCAGTTGTTGTGATCAGGCACGTGAATTGTTGGATTCCGGGTCGGAATGCAACTTCATCTCTGAAGGTCTCAGTTAGTTGATGAAAGTTGCTAGCCAGAAGGTGGATATTTCGATATCGGGCATCGGACAAACCGGAACGAGAGTCACTCGTAAAATTCATGCTGTCTTCAAGTATCGGTTCTCGTCGTACTTTAGACCGATGGATTTTCTCATCTTGCCAGAGGTCACAGCTTGTCTGCCTACTTCTTCATTGTAGGGAAATGGATGGGACATACCAGCAGACATCGAACTGGCAGATCCTGAATTCTTCCACTCGAGAAAGGTCGACTTGGTCATGGGAATCCAAGCTTGCTTCAGCTTCTTCCCATCCGGAAGAGAGATTCCACTGGGAACCGGTCTGCCAGTACTCACCGAATCAGTTTTCGGTTGGATAGTAACAGGCGAAGTTACTACATCAAGCCAAGGTACGAGATATACTTGTAACATGTCGGTATCGAGCGATCTGGAGAAGTTGTTGGAACGGTTTGGCCCTGCAAGGGCAAATACCCACCGGACGAGATACGCTGCGAAGAGCTATTCGAGCGTACAGTCGAACGGGAATCGGATGGTCGGTAAACTTAACTCTTCCCATGCACAACGAAGTACTTGCGGAACAGATGAACTACTATATTTATTGACAGTGTATAGGGATACAATATAACACACAGCTGGTAGGGTAGGAACACAGATAGTAAAATGTAATTGAAGGTGTCATATTAGACTAAGGTTAGGGACATAAACCCTACAAAGTGTGCAATAATAAAATTTCAATGCAAATGGTAACTGATGGGCTGTAAGACACAATCAAAAGATTTATTATAATTAAAGTTTTAACTATTACGAATTGCAAATTAGCTCTGGTAATATATTATCAATTGCAATAGAATATTTCTTGATGAATTCCTACTTAGAAAACGTTTTAAACCTCGTAGATTCGTGCTTAGCTGTGCAAAAATTGGTAAATAACCCTATAATTGTAAACATTAAATCGTTTTTCCATATAAACGAGCCAATTTTTCAGGAAAATAGAGGAAAAGTCCAGCATCACTCTAAAATTTTATAAGGAAACTACAAAACTCGGCAACCATAAAAATCGATTTGAAACGATATTTTTTTTTTAAATACCCTACATTGACCTCATAACGGCTGAAAATGCTTCAAAATATTCGCAAAACACGCTAAAATGGCTTCATTTCTCAACAGTCACCTGAAAAAGACCTGTATACTTGTTATTCTTTATATCATCCACGATGGTGTTATAACACCTTCCAAGAGGTCAATCGCCTTAAACGCCTAAACCATTAACTTTTCATCGGTTTTCTATTCAAATCATAAAAGAAGACCTTTAACTCAAAGGTTACTTTATAAAAACGTCAAAAATTCCGGTCCGAAGAACACAACACTCTAATAATATGCTAGTGATATCGATTGTATCGCTCAACTGATGAATACAATAATGGAAAGAAAAGTTTACTGCGTTAAATATAATCGATCACAAGATACTTACAATTTAGTACTAATTTAACATTGCTGGACAGTGGTGGCACCAGATGCCCGTTACTGGCTTGGCACGTGTAGACCTGAAAGAGAAAAGGAGAGAAAATCACGATAAGAAAAACAAACTCATTTACCCCGTTTTCCGACAAATTTCTACGAAAAGAAAACATTTTACCAGTCTTAATTTTACCCGTCACGCTCCACTTGTTTGGTTACGCTTGAAAGTTTTACTTTTCTGGTGGGAAAAAGTCTTTAAATTTCTTTTCATTCACATTTTCCAACTTCCCCGAACCGCCGATGATGATCACGGGAAGTCACTTATCAGCAAGAATAACTTTTCAATCCAAGCAATCGGTAAACAATGCAACTTCCGCTTCTCTTTCGCTCTCTGTTTGTTTCAAGAAAACCCTCAACAGGACGCGTTCCGCTACTTTGCGATCCACCGTAAAGTTTCCTTCATGAACTTTTCATCTACGTTTAAGCAACAAAAAAAGAAAAATTACGGTTGTAAATTGATACTTAACATGTGCCGAAACGAGCCTCAAAACATTATCATTTCATAAAATCACCAACATAAACGCAGTCATTGTTGCTCCCTCTTGAAACGGTTCGTCAATCAGCACCCCCCTCAGCCTATAGCCGGAAAAGGAAACGATCGATCCCGCTCCAGATCCCGGAATGCGTTTACGCACGCACACCATCATCAATAGTGAATTACAACAATAAAAACTTTTTTTTTCCGGACATTAACCGCGGATTTCATTTGCTCATTTCCAGCCTCTCGATCGAAGTAGGCACTGCTCGCGGCAGCTCAATTCGGAATGAGTGGAAAATGAGTGTACTTTTTGTTTTGTTTCGAAAACAGTAATTACATTGGTTGTGCTGCGGACGGGGATAGAACCCGGAGCACGATGGGTTTGATAAAGAAAGGGTGTAATTAACGGAAAAATCAATGAGATGAAAACAGAGCGCTTTACCGGAAGCAGACGGTAGCACGCTTTCGAAGATTTTCCTTCTTCTGGGCAAAGTTATTTACTTAGATGGCGTTCTGGAAAGTTAGGAAAAATTTCCGATGATTTATGAGTCCTGCCAACGCGGCCAAATTATCGATAAAGTTCGAAGAAAGTGGTTAAAATCTAAATGGTTCATCAAAAAGTATGTTCAAAGGGGAACTCGATCGACAACATCGATAGCGGCTTGAATTACGTCGCCTGAAGAAAATGGTCCCATTGCTAATACTGCTGGTAATGAGTGTTGATTCCAACTCGTTGAAACTGGTTTAGTTCGCCAACTTTTTTTTTGTTTTCTTACCCTGTTTCACATCAAATCCGAACAGCAAGCATTAAACTTCCGAATCCCAAAACAACTGGTGCCCATAAAACATGATGTTTTTCATTGAAACTTTATGTTCGTGTAATTCGGGTCCTTTTTCCACCATAACAGTAAACCCGAAGCAGCAAAAACAAAAAACAACGTCCAGGTCTAAGAAAAAAAGTTGGAGATTCCAAAGATTTGTACCAACACATGCGAGTCGCAATGGAAGGAGGCTATGGATGGGGATGTCTGTTTTTTTTAAGTAGCCATGAAAACACCGTCATCAGAGCGGTGCGTAAAAACAAATCTCCTCCGTTTCCGCCTACTACCTACTTAGGTGTATTTTCTTTCGAATCCAAACCGCCTACTGCGCGGGGCCAAACCGGACGAAAGGCGAGATTAATTCCGTTCATAAAGTTTCGGCTATTTTCCGCCACGGCGTCTGTCCGGATACAACGGGGTGGAAGTTCGGTTCAGTGGGCGGTAAGCTGGGGATGGGATAATGAATGGAACGAAAAACGAGGCGAAATCTTTCATACTTTTCACGAACCATTCGTCGCCCACCTCTATCGACCATCCGGCGCTAGGCGTTTATCAATCAAATGATGGTTAATCTCGCAAGATTTAAGCGCAGCCTTGTCAGGTTCGTTTTGTCTAGTAAGGCGAGACGAGAGAAAGAGAGTGATTCTATGGGTGCGTTAATTGAAGGTTGAAATTCGGTACACGTGCAGGAGCGTTAGTCTTTTGGGGTGGAATTTTCCATGGTTGCGTCAGTGTGCCGGTTCTTTGTTCGGAGGAATTTTATAACGGGTTCGATAATGGGAAGTGAAGTTGGTTCTTTGATTTTCACGCCTATTGTGGCCATGAAATGCTGGCATTATTTTCGATAATTGATAGTATTCGCGCTGCCAAGTTGCGATGCAGACTTACACTATCGTAAGAAAGGGGAGAAGAGCTGCCAGCCAAAAGTTTGGATGGAGTTTCAGCCATAAAGCTGCGGTAGAGGATTTTTGCCCCAATAATGGATGGAACGCTAGATGAATTAATTTTTAATGGTTCTCTAAAAATATGGTGGGTTCATTGAAACCCTCATAAAAAAGTTTGACTTCTTTGCACCTGTAGCAGCTTGTAGTTGATGTTTCAACATCCCACCTTGGAATCCATAAATAAACTGATGTGGGATGCTCATTATTTTCTGTGGAATGGCACTATCGCAAGCAGTATAGATGCTATAGCTAGCCATTGAATAGTGACCTGCTCCCAGCCGTGGAAATGACCACCGCTTGTGGATTTCCTATCCAGCCAAGCCCAGGAAAGTCTTGGAATAGCCGACTCGCAAGTTCAGCTGAACGATCCGTCTGGAAAATTTAGTGTACAATTGTTTCCAGTTTGAGTAAGACTAGACGATTGAACAAAATTCTTGCTAAATCAAACAATTTTCAAGTGAACACATGTCAAGTAAACAAGAACCGGTTTTAGATGTCTAACAAGAATTTGTGACCCTTTATCAAATCAAACGGTACGTATAGAAAGGCAAATAATTTTTTTAAGTAATCTAAAGTAGAATCTACTCCATACAGTTCCATAGTGACGAGAATCGCTGATTATGAAAGTTCTGTAAGTTTCACCCCAAGAGAGAATTTTAGTCACCCTCAGAAATCATTGGTTATTAAATTGCGATGAATTACTACCCCAAAATAGTGAATTTGCTTACAATTTAAATGATTATAATTATGATACATATTTTTTCTAGTGACCTAGAAGTCATCTAAGTAAAAAATGCAGTTATAAGAAATGCTACCGAATAAAAAAATTGTTTTTGATCAAAAATAGTCGTCGACTAACCTTGACTAACCATATTTTCATCTTGGTCCCCCCTTATCATAATTGGCGAGGTGAAAATTTGTCATATGATATTTTCACCTTGGTCCCCCTTATCATAATTGGAGGTGAAAATTTTTCATACGATATTTTCACCTTGGTCTCCTCTTATCATAATAAAATAAAATAAAATAAAAAAAGATGATGACGATGGTCCCACCTCTTACCCCTACAAAGGTTTGAGCTGGACGATTTATCTTTAAGATAATTAAATATGACATTTTAACCAGGTTGGCAAACAAAATCGAACTGGTTTCAGTTACAGATATAAATTCCCTCTAGAGTTTACAGTTGCTTCACAGCGATATAAATATGGAAAAGCTCAGGCGTCCACTTCTTAGTTCGTCTTTTTGTCCACCTACAATATTCATAAGTATTACAAACAATCCAGAGTTCTCGATGAGTCTCATCGTCGCCCACTGGTCACCATAGCCGGTCGAACTCCAGACGAATCTAGAACCACACTACCGTTCATACTGGCGACATCACTCTGATGAGACAACGAAACCCTACCCCAAGCTCCTCCCCTTTTCCTATCCTTCGACAATGTACCCCTCTAACCTCGAGTAAGCCGCGAGTATTCGGCCCAACTCCTTCTAGACATAGAATTAAGTGAATTTTGTTACGAACAAAGAACAATGAATTATCGGCTCCGTAAAGCTAACGTGATTGAGCCTTACAAATAAACGAACTAGATAAAAAATAAAAAACAATCAAGAGTTAATGAACAATCAACAAAGCATCCTATTACACTAGCAACCCCGCAATCTGATGCTATCATAATTTTCAGCAATGTCAGGAATGCTCACGAACCCCCAACATTTGCCAGAAAACTTACTACTAACTACTCTATATCCGTAATACGCGCGCGAGGCTCAAACCTTTGTAGACTACTTTTTTTTTTAATTAATCTACTATTAAATCAAATATTAAAAATCCATTATCACCATCGTGGCAAACAGAAATAGTTTTTGCAGTGCTACAATAATTATTAAAAAGTTGTTATGACAGCTATCCATATAAAATAATCCGTTAGAGATAACTTCGTCAAGATACATAATTTGTCAATTCATAAAAAAACACTGGATAACTGTTCAAAAGACAGTTTTAACGTGTTTAATGCAGTGTCTTTTAAATTCTGTAAGTGTTGCTGAACGTTTGATATGTCTAGGCATCGAATTGAAAACATTTATTCCTTTATAATATAATGAATTTTGTGAAGCACAAGTCAAGAAATGTGGTGTTCTTATTTCAACCGCGTTTCTAGTATTATATCTATGAAAGTCACTTCCTCTTTCAATTCGATTACACAAATATCGATGCAACAAACCGTTAACTACTTTAAAAATGAACACCATAGTCAAATATACAATTCTTTGCTTCACCGACAACCATTGTAAGGCGTCTAGCATCAAAGTTGAGGAAGTGAATCTATTACTTCTCAAAATCAAACGCATTATTTTATTCTGCAAGCGCTGTAATCTCGATATTTGTGTTGCATTGGCCAGAAATAAAATGGAAGGGCAAAAGTCAAGATGAGGAGAGATGATTGATTTGTATAGCTGTATTTTACTGGCAATAGTTAAATCGTTTTTCAGTCGACATAGAATTCCATACTTCTTGGCAATTTTCTTGATGACATTGTCAATGTGAGATTTGAACTTAAGTGTGTCATCAATAATCACGCCAAGATATTCAATCTCACGAACGCGATCAATAGTCTCATCATCAATTACAACAGAGACGTTCTGATTTACTCGATTCCGCGAAATTACCATAAATTTAGTTTTACTTGTATTCAATTTTAACTGCTTATACTTCAACCATCTACTTAGAGAACGCAAATCTTCATACAAGTGTAAAACGGCATCATCTAAATCCTTAGCTG